AAATCTCACCAGAAAGGATGTAGAGCGTACACACAGAGGGGCTTTGTTAGGAGACTGGTGAGCGGCTGAGCATAGGGCACACGTACAGCGCTGGATAAGGAAAAGATTAGGAAGGGGTGGCTTGACAGTTATCAGTTAAGGCTTTCAGAAATCTACTTTGGATTAACAAATAACTCGGCCGCACAGCTTTTAAACACAGTAATGTTCGTTGACATTTAATTTCATAACATTCGCCGGCACGTTTCAAAGAGCTACGTGCAGATCAATAATATAGTCTGGATAGCCTCTTGGTGATAAATTCGAGTGCATGAATAGATTGAATACCGTGTCCGATGTCTGTTGATGAAGTGTGAGTGTACGATGTGAGAGAGGTCTATGTTGCTTGACCACAGCATTCGACGGCCAACAACACAAAGCCTCATTCGAAGCAAGGTGCACCCATTGGAAAGTTGCGTACACCGAATTGAACTTCGCGTGCCACTAAAATGGGCCAACAGTGGCACAGTTGTAAGCCATTGAGCACCACTTTGCAGGAACTCGAGAGAAGTCACCCTTTGAAGAGACTGACCCATTCATAGAAATGTCAAATTTCCATCACTGGTCAGGCACTGCAGATGGATATAAGTGCCACTCCATACTCGTTTGAGCAGGGAGATACTTTGGCTGTTACGTTTTAGATTAGTATAGTATTGCTTACAACAGAGACAACATGCGGTCCCCTTTGTAAATTCATACTTCACCACGCTGTTAAGAATGGCTTGGTTGAATATTACTATTAATAATTTTATTTTACCAGGTAAGGCCCACATAGCTGTTTTTCAGAAGTGACTTGGCCACAAATGATAGCCCAAATGAAGTGGCTTATCACGTGGAAAATGTTCATAAATGTGGAGGGAAAAACCGGAGGGACCCGTGGAAAAAAAATCCACGCAAACACTGGGAGAACATGCAAACTCCAAATATACAGCAAGCGTCAGGGTCGGGTTCGAACCCACGACCTCCTGCATACCAGGCGAGGTAATTAACATTTCGCCATCGTGTTGAATATGGTGACAGCCATTACCAGGAATCTAAATTCATAATACAACGTCCTCACCACTGTGCCACTGGTACACACCACTATTACTTAACCAGGTTATGTGTTTTTCAAAAGGAGTTATGGAAAAAAGAATTCAAATTCGTAAACAGAAAAGTTATGTGTTGGTTTCAACGTAAAGGTTTCGTTGAAGTTGGTATACAAATATGTTCGCGTGAGTATTAGCATTATAGTGACAGGTCATGTGTTGACGCTACAGGGTCCACATTAGCCAAATTCGAAATTACCCGCAAATTACTCAATTGGGATTATGCACAGATACATTGTCTGCTCCCTACTGGCAGACTAATTGCCCCAGGTCACGCTTGCAAATGAGACCGATCCTGGTCTCTTGAGTTCTCACCTGGTAAAATAAATATAAACTTGAACTGTAACTTATTTTTTTGTAGTTTTCTGTTTACATTCTAAGAATATTGCTTGTATTTACAACTTAACCGTTTTTCCCATGTTTGGACCTGATCTACAAAATACCAGTTTGATCACGTAGGTTTTCTGCCATAAAGTGCGTGGACATTAACAGAATATACTCATAATATGAACACAGTGGCTTTCCTGCAATAGCTGTTAGGGAAATGGTTAGTTCTGTTGGAGTCTCTGACCCAGCGTTTGAAATTCCACATTCCCAAGGCAGGGCCAGTCCGTATCATTGTTAACTTCCCACAAATTTGTATCTATGTTTTTCTTTTTATTAACACCAATGAATGGGCTAAACCATAGAGTGCAATCATAATTGGATTACGGTCCAGATTTCTGACAACAGAACCATGAGTGTGTGTGCATGTGGGTGTGTGACTGTTGACCACCCACCCCTTCGTGTGCCATCATAGATGTTACTCGCGAACGGCTTTTGTCCCAACAGTCTGTTAAGGCTATACGGGGGAAGTTTGTCTTTGTAAGACTTCCTGCATGAGACAGATTGCATGGTCTGTGTATGTGTGTGCACATGTGTGTGTGTGCGTGTGTGAAAATAGTTTGATAGTTTGCATATCTCTCCAGCATATCTGACCAGATGGTACCGCTGTTCAAAGCACTCAGCTCAAAAAATTGCAAGGTTAGGAGTTCAAAACCCGGTCAATGGGATCAACTCACCCAATTGTCCCGCGCGGGCCAATAAATTAGATACCACTGAGAAAAGTCAGCGGTGGGTCATCCGATGGGGGAGACTGGCAACCGTCATGGAAATGTGGAATTTCAGCGACTGACTCCGGGCCGCAAACGAAGATGAACAACTGACCCGCCCGCCGGGGTCAATTGCGCCCGGGGGTCAATTTTGCAATTGTCGATGAATTCGCCCAAAACGCATTTTGGTAACGCCATTACCTTGAGAGAGACATTGGCTACGTTTGCGTGGAAATATTTTTTCGTGTTGGAGACATTTATCCGGATTAACAAAGTTCAACAAGCACAAATGGAAATAATGCACGCACATTTTGGTTTTGCGCGAATCTCAAACATACCTCAGGCTTTGGTGCGTTTTGTAAACTGCGCTTGAATTGCTACCTAAGGCAAATCAACTGGTCTGCGTCTCGGTGCATTCAATGGAGGTGAGTCCCTTGCACTCGGAACGAATGCAACCACGTTAACCGTTTGTTCAATTATTAGACGCACATTCCAGATAATTCGCTTGAAGGTTAAATATTGCAATGAAAACATTCTCTCCGACGTGGAGTCGCCCAGAACAGAACAACGGAGCGAACGCCCCCTCGGCTCGATGCCCCCCCCCCCCCCATTCACAAATGCGAAGGAGGCATCACAGCAAAACCCACTCGGCTTCCCACCTGACGCGATTGTCATCTGGCAACCACCTCAAATGTGAAACCATCGACGCTGTCTCAGTCAACATCTACAACATCAGCCGCGCGGAGGCGAATATTGCAATGGAAATGTGGCCGATGAGAATCATTCCACAAAGTTGTTGTTGTTTTAGAAGTGGTCACGAAGAAGGAGGAGAAAACAAACGCACGCTGAGAGGTAACGCGCGGCCGAGATGCTGAATGGTGGTGGTTGGGTGGCATGGCGTGAGGAAGAGGCGGTGGAGACGGGGGGGGGGGGCGCGGAGGGGGTGGTGTAGGGCTGACCACTACACCACCCGTTCACGGCCAACGACCAGTGACGATTATCTGAACCGGTCCTGGGCTTGGCCTCGGTTGACTCAGCCTCAAATGAGTACCTGGTGCGGTGTGTAAGCATCCCCACTCGGGATACTAATGCGGCCGGACGTGGTGTTGGCCACCCATCCCCTTGTATGCTGTGCTTGCCCGTCATAGGTGCTGTTCGCTAACAGCACTTGCCCCAACAGTCTGTTAAGGCTATACAGGGGATCCTTGTCTTTGTTTGGTGTGGGTGGTGGGTGTATGTATGTAGGCGATCGGGAATTAGCACACTCCTCTTTATTTAAACGCAAGCACGCAAATCCCGCGTTAATGCTGTTGTCGGATTAAGACGGCCTCGTCATCCCCACAGCCACTCGGGCACGAGCCTCAACCCCAACAATCACTCACTCGATACCACCACCTCCTCTCTCTCCCTCCAGGCTAGACCCAATAGCGGGCTAGAGTCCGCCCCGGGGGACAGACCCGAGCCCAGCCCAGCCGAAGCCCGGCCTCTTTGGTGTGCGTGTGTGTGTGTTTTTTTGTGCCTGTTTCTCTCCCCCCCCCCCCCCTCCTTGTTTTGTCGTCTTCCTCTTTACTCCACCCCCCCCCCCATTGATCAGCCGCCTCCTATTGCACCGCATGTGGCTCGGAGCCATACATATTATCGGCGGGGTGTATAATAAGAGAGAGAGAGAGGATGGACGGGAGGGCGAGGGGATGGGATGGGCGAGTGAGTGAACAGCAAAACGTGGGACGTTAGTGGTTTGACATGCGTGTGCGTGTGTGTGTGTTTTTGTTTTTGTCCGTGAGCGACATCGAGTAGAGTGCGAAGTGGTATCATCTGAGCCTGTCCCGTGCGTCCTCGAGGTCGACTCCGCTTTCAAATGAGCCCCCTGCCGTGTCACGTGGGGGGGGGGGTCAGACAAAAGGTCATGCCCGGCGTCGCGTCGTGCTGGCCTTGACAGGTGCTCGCCAACATAACGTGGACCTACGATATTTATATCAAAGCCTAAACGAGGGATCTTTGTCTTTGTTGGTAAGGTGGTTGGGTGTGGGTGGTGGTGGGGCTGCTGGGTGGAGATGAGAGCGCGATCCCAGTGGTGTTGGTGGAGTAGAGGGGCGGTGGGGCAGGCGGTTAGCGCGCTGCGCTATGAACCCTGCCACCCGAGTTCGATTCCCGCTCACAAGCCAACACCAGTTACAATTATCTGTACCTCCCCTAGGTCGACTCAGCCTCAAATAAATACCTGTTGTGCAAATATAGCCACTAGGGAGACAAAGGCGGCCGGGCGTGGTGCTGGCCACCTACTCCCTCGTGTGCCGTGCCGGCCTTCAATGGTGCTCGCTAACAGCACTTGCACCGCAAAAGTCTGTGGAGGCTTCCATCGGGGGGGGGAGGGGCGGAATCTTTGTCTTTGATCTTCGTTGGTGGAGTGGGGATGACTGCGTGAGTGGTGGACGTTCAGGAGCGAGCGGTGTAGCCCGGCTGGGTAGATACGCCTGGGCTGGGTGCGCGTGTCTGTTTTGGATGGCTGTTGGGTGAGTGGGGTGGGGTGCCGTGGGGTTGAGTGCCGTAAGTGGGGGGGGAGGCGGGGGGAGAAAAGGGAGGCACATGGATGGGAGCGAAGGGAGGGAGGAGAGGGATGGGGTGGAGGGTGCGGCTGGCTGTTTGCTAAGGAGAACGGCGGAAGGAGCGCATCCTTTCCACCCCCCTCCTCCCCGAACACCACGATCCAACTCCCCCTCCTCTCACCCACAGTCCCCCACCCACCCAACCCCCACCCACCCACCAACCCCCCTCTTAAGTGTAGCCGTGGCTTGCGAGTTTTGCGCATAGCGCCGAGGTGTGCGCGCGCGCGCGTCTGTCTGTCCGCGTGTGTGCGCGCGCGCGAGTAAGGTATATGGCAAAGCCCTCTGGAGTTATTCTTTTGTAACCAAATGCAGCAGATTTGTGCATCCGAGGGGCTTGTTGGCTCGCGGGCGAACGCCGCCTGCGCTCGTTAACGCGACGACTCCCACTCCACGGGAGTTTTCCCTTCGCTCCCTCTTCGCTACAATTGCCGGGGGAAGAGTCCGTCCCGACGGAGAACACGAAGCTTACTTACTACTATCAAGACTTGGGAGTGAAGAGGCAGAAGGAGAGAGAGAGAGAGAGTGACCGCTGAAGAAGAAGTGAACGCACGGATGAATGTGCTTTGCAGTCACATCTGAAGGAGAAGATGATGGTGATGATGATGCCGACGCGTGCAGATGATGTGTGTTCAACGCAAAGGGCAGGGTCGTGACGTCGCTACGTCGGCTGATTGATTATAGCCACGGTGACAATACACTCTGATCACACGCGAGTGTGCAGTTTGCCGGCCTCTGTCGGGAGCGAGGCTGGTGGTGCTTCTTCTTCTTGTTGTTGTTGGTGGTGGTAGTCGTGGTGGTTTTTAATCTCTGGTTCTGGGATTACGGCGGACCTACAGCTGCCACCACTGGCGCTGAGAAGACTCACGCGCGGACTATGAGTAAGGAGGGCGTTGCATCTGCAGTCGGGGATTCGAGAAACTTGGTGGTAAGTTTTGCTCCCCTTACACCGTTGTGTTTTTGTAACAGTTGAGATAAACGAAACCACGTTGGCCGTGTGCGTGCACGAGGAGTCTAAAGCGGTTGACGCGCTGCGCTACTGAACCCGGTCAGCCGGGTTCGATTCCAACTCAGGGCCAACGACCAGTGACGGTTATCTGAACAGCATCCCCTAGGTCGACTCAGCCTAAAACGAGTACCGGGTGCGGTGTGTGGGCATCGCAACTTGGGGGAGACCAAGGCGGCCGGGCGTGGTGCTGGCCACCCCCTCGTGTGCCACAGTGCCGGTCTTCATAGGTGTTCGCAAACAGCACTTGCCCCAATAGTCTGTTAAGGCTATACGGGAGATCTCCGTGTTTGTGAACAAGCATGTGCTGTATATGTTATAACGATTCTGCAGAGCTTTTGTCAATCCATCGGTTGATCAATGCTTCCCTACGCTCTTGTCGGTCATCTGTGGAGGGTATTATTGGACCATACTTCACCGCGCTGGTCACAGCGAGTTAGTGAAGGGATCCGTGTGTTGGCTCGGCGACGCTTCTGATGCCACTCGCCGCTGATGTGAACCGTGGATTGGGTGGTGGTGGTGGGGGGGGGATCGATCTAAGACGATGCCGAGTTAATCACAGCGCAGCGCGCTCACTAATGCGCCACCGCTCCTGCACTTACACATTGTTCACATAGATACAGAAACATTATTCACAACTCGGCTCACAAGGTGGCGGGGTGTCTCGCATCTTCCGTGCAGCAGTAACGCACGTGTAATAACAACTGCTTCACGCGCACGTGAGTTGAGATCGACAGAGGAAGAGTACACACACACACACAGTATGTACTGCGAATAGCCAATACGTGGATACAAGCCGCCCTTTGCCGTGTTGCCCAGACACATTATCATACATCATAGATGTGTTACATTAATAAAGTATACTTTTTGTTGGACAACGGCCAGGCGTGTAAGTCAGCGTCCTGGTGAATTACACAATCGCCCCAATTAGCAGTCCTTTGTAGATTCATACTTCTCGAGCGATGCGATGTCGACCGCTGTCGCGAGACCGGTTAAGGAATGGCAGACCAAGGCGAGTAACCGCGGACCACGCGCGCAGATGGATCGACGAGATGATCGGTTCACGTACAGGGGGAATCAGACGGACGGACGGACGTCAGCAATGAGCGCTGGACCGCGAAGGGTTAGCGACGGCGTTGGGAGATGTCTTCTTCATCCAGCGGTGGATAGACAATGGCTGATGATGATGATGGATGTGGAAGCTGCGGATACGCGCTTTGGTCTGGGGGTTACAAGACAGTGTTGTAGTGTAGCTAGTGACTGCTGCTCGGCGAGGTGATCCTACAGCTTGAGATCATTGCGGCCCATTGTCGCATATGCATATTGGGCCTCTTTTTTTTTAAAGGGAACCCAATACGCATCACCACGTGCACGGTTCAGCAGGGTTTCTGTGGTTCGGCCGAAAACCTGAGCGGCCAACTAGGTATATGATTTTTTTTTAATAATAATTATTTGGTGTTATTATTGATCGATGAAATCTATATCAGATACAGCGGTGCAAATAATAATTGGCGTGCTAAATGTTTTACCATATCCCATTATGATGTTCAATGTGTATAAATTGGATTTGTGATGTGCGTACATTAGAGGGGCATTTCTCGATTATTTCACGCGGTAGTAATGTTTTTTGGGCCATTTTTACGTAAAAAAATAAACAAATATCCAGTAACGAACAGTCATTAGCGCGTTTTCAGACTTGTTATGTATTGGGTTTATAATTGGAGTGATGCTGTAATGTTGAATGGCTTTCAAAAAAAAATCCCTCTTCCATTCAAAGACCACAAGCATGCACCCCATTCCTCTGTAGCCCTGGCGTTTGCCAGTGTTCTATTAATAACGCCACGTGCCCTATTTTTACACAATAGCTGTTAGTGGTGGTGGTTGGTCTCATGTGAGTCTCAGTAGAAACTACTGGGCTGTGCTAATTGCCTTTGTTCTGAATAATAAAAAGGTGTCTCGTGCAAAACTGGACAAATTTCACCTGGGGTGGAGAGGTTAGCGCCGCTGTGTTCTGAACCTGGTGATCCGAGTTTAATCCCCTGCCATGGCTAACATCAGTGGCAAGTGATATCAGAACCGGGCATGCCCTCACCCTCCTTCTTATATCCATATTGACCAGCGTGGTAAAGAATGGTAAAAAATAAACACACCCCACATGACTGGCATGGGGTGGCCTTCATTCACTGGTCGATTGAGAATGCCTGAATTTTATTATAATAAAAAAATGTACGTATTTGTAGTCAACAGTCTTACTAACAGTCTCTGTGTCTCTGCGCGTTTCATCTGTCAGTTTTTACCAATTGTGCCCATTGATATGTGGCGAGGCCCTAAAGATTTTCCGTTGTTGGAGGAGAGTTGGGAATGTGCAGTCTCGGGAGATGAGCAACGCCGTGAGAGAGGATCACACGCTGCCCAGTATTCGATATATATGCACGTGTGGTCTCTGGTGTACAGAACAGACCTGCATCAGTCGGTAAATACTTTAAAAGCCCCACCATATATATGCATCTAGGCTGTAAGTTGAGTTGCTTATGTAATACAAAGCCATGGTGGCGCGATGTCTATAGTCAAGCTCTTTTGGTGGAGGGGTGAGAATCTGGTAGATCACTCGGAGGTCTCATAGTGCTACGAAAGTCCATTTTTGTCTGAATTTTAGATGCCCTACCACCACCGCCGCAGGCAAGTGAGCCACCACACACGTGTGTTTTGCCAGGCGGCCCCCGGTTTAGTCCCACGTGTGGGACAGTCTTTAAAAAGAAAGTTACGCGTCCAACTAACACCCCCCGGCGCGGCACGCTTTCCGAACCGAGCCCTAACTTCACGCCACTCCCGGTGGACTCTGCCGTCACGTTGGCACAGGTGGGCGGCGGAACCGCGGTCCGGGGCCCAATGCACGCCGACGTGGGACCCGCGTCCACTCCTCTGGGTCACCCCTGGCATTCGCCTGTGGCCTCCCGAAGCTCCAGCCGCCCAGCCCCGGAGGGCTCGGCCCCCGGTTCCGGACTCAGGGGGCCTTGCCCCGACTGCCCCGCGCGACTGCCCTGCCCGACGGGAAGCGGCTGCCCGTCGTCGCAGGGCGTCCCCTGCCCTGGGGAGAGGGGCAGCGCCTGGCCGTGCGAGAGCTGCTCGCGGAGCAGGATGGATGACCTCAAGCGGCAGGTCCACGACCAGACGTCGCCCGGGCACACTGGCAAGGTAACGTGGCCGGGATGCACGGCGCTTCGGTGGCCAGATGGTAACTACCTCGCCTGGTATGGCAGGAGGTCGTGGGTTCGATCCCGACCCTGACACCTGCTGTGTGTTTGAAGTCTGAGTGTTTCTCTCTCTCTCCCCATGGTCACGTGGATTTTTTTCCAGGCCCTCCTGTTTTCCCCCCTCCACATTTTGAATCGACGTGCGTTCAGAGTATTTGGCTGCCATACATTTTCACGTGATAAGCCACTTCGTTGGGCTATCATGCGTGGCTCGGTTGCTTCTGAAAAAGAGCTATATAGCTCAGTGGGCCTTAGCTGCTAAAATAAAAAAAAGATTTTAGTGTGCTTTATGGGTGCGGAGAGATCCGTAAAGGTGAAGGCGTTGTGCAAGGGAGAACGGTCGGAGTGATGGATTGAGATGTGTGGGAAGGTTTTAAATGGAGTTATGTGGAGAGTTGAGCAGTTGGAGAGGGTATACGCTTTTTTTTACGTAGTTTACTGCCATTAAGGCCAGCAGTAAATATTGTCATTGTCTCTTGCCTCAAACAAGCGTTGGGGCTGTGCTTATCTCGGTTCCAAAGGCAAGGGGCCAGTCTTACCATAGCATAACCACCGGTATGGTTCTCAAAGCGGTGCTAATTTTTTTTTTATCTAGGAGGGATGACTAGGCAAGCTTAACTCCCCCACAACTGAGAAATGAACTCACAACCCTGGCAGTCCAGACATTGCGTTTATTAGACTTAGATAACAGTAGTAAAATAACCAAGTGAACAAGAATGTTAACCATACAGCCTTTGTGTATAATGGTTTATTGCCTTCCCGTAATTGACCAATCATTTGATGTTGCCTTGAGAGTCCACTTGTGGCTTTCATAGACAAGCTCCCTACGCTAGTTTTGTGGTGTCGTTGTTGCTGTTGCAAGTTGAGCCCGCGTCCCTTAATAGAAAAGAAGAACAAACCCTTGTCTCTTTTTTTTGGCTCTACGCGGCATCCCGCGTGGGCGACAGGGCCACGCTTTTTGCCGAGATTGACAGCTCCTGTCGGCGCAGCGCACACCGCCGGGCACGTTTACATCCGTACGAGGGACAGGGGGGGGACCCCTTAAGGGGGTGGCTTTTCACCGCTCCCGACCAACCGCACCCCTTCAACCGCACGCTCCACGCATTGTCACAACACACCCACCCCCTGCACGCCTATTTTTTACTGCGAGGGCTCAAAACACAGAGGTCCAGCCCCTGCAGCAAGCGTCCGTTCGTCTGTCGTGCTACGCTCCGCACACTCCCATTCACACCGTTTTGCCTCTCACCCCCCCCTCCCCCTTTCCAAAAAAAAGACCCAGCAACAATAGACGTCTCCCCAACCTTTGCTCGGCTGACCACCTGGTTTACCCCGATCGCAGAGAGTTACTTTGTTGGTGCACACCGGGAGGGGGGGGGGGGTTAACGTGGAAAGCCCTGTTTGCCGGACGGTCGTGTGTGGTGGCGGTCTTGGGCTGTCCCCGGGTGTTGCCGCTAGACGGCAGCACTGAGGCGCGATCACAGAGGGCCCTTTTATTGTAGCCACGTCTGGGGAGGTTTGCACGTGAGATTGTTCGTCTTGACAGAGTCGTTTTTTTCAGCACGCTGCTTTAGTGAGCCACAATTATTTTGCGGCGATTTCAAGAAGGAGGAACGGTGGCACAGTGGTGAGCCTGCTGCGCTTTGAACCCGGCGACCTGAGTTCGAGTCCCAGCCCAGAGCTAAAAGCAAGTGGCGAGTTATACATGCAATGTTCCTGGCTCTGCCCCACCCCTTCCCTTCGCCAAACCCGCAACTAATCAGCACGGTGAAGTATGGTAAAAAAAAATCTTCGCGATTGGGAAGGCATCTTATTTCGATTTCACCAAATTCACGCATCACAGATTTGCCCATTGCTTCTTCTCATCTATTTCATTCACGTTATGTCCACCATTACATTCACGTGTGCACCGTTGTTAATTCTTTGCAAAGTGCCTTGGTTAAAGTGCCATATAAATTCCGTTAATATATGATGGGACAGAGTACTGTAAAAAATATTGTATGACTATTATAATCATTGGCGTGATTTCCCTCCGTAATTCTGCAGTCCCATCATAGAAGTTATTCAAAAGTCTATTATTTTCTTTCCCAAACGACCCTGGGAAATGCGTCATCTCAAATTGGTCTTCCTGAGACAGCGCGGCGGAAACTCCACGTTCCCATGGCAGAGGCCAGTTTTTCTCGAGCGCAGCCGCCGTTTATGCCCCACAAAGGAGATTTCCTATTTTTTCGACCGTGGATGGAGGATGCTGGGCCGAGTTGACCACCCTCTCCCCCCACCGATGAGCAACCGAACTGAAACGCATCCCATTCAAATGACTGCAGCTCTGTTTGCAAAAATTTGGCAGAAAAAAACGTATGCGACATTGAGTGACTAATGGCACGGGTATTTATGTAAATAAATATAAAAAACAATAAAACCCAATGTTGCACCAACTCGTGTGCGGAATAACCTATAACGAGGGCATAAATTTCACTGGATCCTATAGTGATTTTGGAAACATCACCCATAATTATTATTGGCCATAAGTAATTTTATTGGCAGAGGTATCTTGTTTTACAGTGAATACAATGGAGCCAATGCCGTGTTTGCTAAATGTGTTCACTTCTAGCCACTAAACAGAGTTAAGAGAGACAAGTTTCTCTCTGCTCAAACGAGTGTGTTTACCTGGCTTATCTCTGTTAACAACCCTACCCACACCAGCGATTACGGAATTTCTACATTCCCATTCTTTAAGACAACCACTTTATTAACCCAGGTCTCCTGTGCAAAATCTTGATCTTTTTTGGTGTTCGTAACCTTGCTCATCTCGTCAAGGAGCATACACCAGCACGCGAACTTCGGTCATCCTCGCAGCAGCTCTTGGCTGGCCATCAAACAAAGGCGGTCACTGAATCACTGCTTTCAGATGCGCTTCTGTGGCCGTCTGGAATGCTCTTCCTACCGATATTAGCAGGCCACTTGAGCAATGCACTTTTAAATCTAAACTGAAAACCAATTTCTTTAGAAGTGCTTTTAGTGTTAAGTTTGTTGTCCTCCGCCGACACCTCCGATAGGCATCGTTGGCTACCTACGGTGTAAAAGAAGTCCAACATACATACATCATCATACACTGTTTGGTCTCAGTGGTCTGCACTCCGGGCTTCAATGAGGAGGGAAGGGAGTTGGACAGGGGGTCCAATAATATTCCATGCACCAGGGAACCATGCCAACCGCACTACACCACTGATGATTCGGTTGATATAGCCAAAGGACCGGTACATAATTACCAACTCTAAGGATGCTTGACAGGAGAGAATTAACCACAACATTTTCCTTAAAAAAAAAACACGGCGCGTTGTGTGATGCTGGCTGCACTGAGTTTTTAATTAATTCTCCACATGTTGACTTGGAGTGAAGAAATGGTCAAATTACCCAGCGTGTACTTAATTTGGCTCATTACGCTGTAACGCAGCTCATTTTGCTTTGCGAGCAATGCGCACATTTCTTAGCTGACGTGAGAATGGACGAAGCGAACAAGTTGGTTGTCGTAAGAATGCAAATGGTAAACAACAAAAAAGGATAAAACAGAATTCAATGTAATGCAACGCCAAGCCAAGTAATGCTTTCTGACAACGTCGTGAATGTCACAGTGTAAAGGTGTACATTTTGGAACCGGGGTATTGAGTTCTTGCGGAATCATTGATAGCGTATGCTCGTTGTTTTATCATCACTGAAATGGTTTACAAAGTGAGAAGCGTGCGTTGCGGAGTGCCCCAGAAGTTGACTGTGCCTTTCCGTAACTGCAGCGGCACGAAGTGTGTACCGTCTATGAAGCTGGAGCACGTGTCCCTTTAATGGAATGATGATCGTGCAGCAATCACAGCAATTCGTAACGCACAATGTAAATGTCAACACGAGTGCGAAACATTCTTACTGCGCGCATGTGCGACATTGCACTTAATTGGCAATTGCACACACAAAATAGCCAATACATTTTCAGAAATGTTTAAATCCTGGGAGCATGCGAGACACAAATTAAAAGTTTACAAAGGCGAGAGAGCGAGAGAGAAGTTGCGTTTACAATGCGTGCCTTTTAAGTCTAGATTGAAACATAATTTCTTGAGAGCTGCTTTTTGTGTTTATTTATTATTTTCCTTCCCCCCCCACCACTTCTGATTATATATACATACATGTAAATTATCAAGCATGCCAAAAACACGTTCAACTTAGTTATCCTTAGCATCTGTAGGGAGCAGCTGCTGTGAGTGAGTGCCATGTCAGGCCAAAACAACTTACGTGGGGTTGATGGGGTGGCCAGAACTACACCCCCTGCCAACCTTTGCATTTCCCAGTGCTGATGTTCGCACACGCCGCTTGCTATTTACAGTATTTATTGAAGGATGAGTTGACCTCGGGGATGCACAGAGCAGTTTGAGATACTGCTTGCCACTCGTGCACTGTGCGTGGTCAGGAATTGAACCTGGTCTGCCAACATTGTAGTGCACAGCGCTAACGTTTCACGCGCGCACGCACACAACACTATATTTATATTCTTGGTTCTTTCGGTAAAGTCACGTAGAAGGGAAACTTTAAAATAATTAAAACATTGTTTTTTTTATATTTTTATTATTTTATTGTTTTCCTTCTACGTGACTTTACCGAAAGAACCAAGAATATGAATCACTGTAGTCACGAAAGCTTTAAATAAAAAAAACCCACTATATTTGTTTAAATAAACGAAGCAGTCGGCAAATACACGTACCTTTATTTTGAAACCACTTTGCAAGTGGATCTCAATAATGATAAGCAGGTGGCAGTCTGGAGATAGGGCCAAATTCCAAAGTGTGAGATCGGCCAGATTTTCAAAAGATACGCCCCTTGTCATCTTCAAGACGTTTCAACTTTGCATTGGAGGGCACATAGCGTAGATCGTTTGTGCCGGTGGCAATTCTCCTTGATATG